AGCTGCTGTTAGAAACAAATAGTTCTTGATTGGCAGTGTCTTGTCTCTGGTTGCAAGAGCTCTGGTCGGCTAGAGCCAGATAAGTGTCGTCAAATCTTGCCAAGAGAGGTTTTTGATCAGTGGGATGATGCTCTTTCTGAAGCAGTATTGATGCGTTCAAAGAGATTATATTGTCCTTATAAGGATTGCTCTGCTTTGCTTTTCATTGACAAGAGTGAAGTGAAGATGAAAGATTCGGAGTGTCCTCATTGCCATAGAATGGTGTGTGTAGAGTGTGGGACTAAGTGGCATCCGGAGATAACTTGCGAGGAGTTTCAGAAGCTAGCAGGGAACGAAAGAGGAAGAGATAATATTTTGCTCGCGACGATGGCAAAGAAAAAGAACTGGAAAAGATGTTATTCTTGCAAACTCTATATTGAGAAGTCTCAAGGTTGCTTATACATGAAATGCAGGTATATGTATATTCTTCTTCTTCTTATCACCTGTGATGCAAATTTGTGAAACAATGGTTTTTTTTAATAATTTTTGGAAATCGATTTCGTAGGTGGATGCTGTGTTGTCGTTGTTGGGTGGTTCTACTGAGCTTGCTCCTGGTCCGCATATGTTTCGAGAAGAAAGTAAGATACGGTGTTCGCCAAGAAATGGCCTTAAGGTCAGTGTATCATCAGTCTTGAGTTTTACCAACTTATGCCAAAAGCTGTTACAATCCCAATTAGTTAGCAGAAGATTTTAACCAGTTTCTTAGGCCTACGGAACCATTAGTATTGAGCTAGCTTTTGTTAAGTTGGATGTTAACAAAATACATGAGTAGTTAGTTTTAAATGTCACATTTGAAGAGGCTGGACATATTTCTTCCACATTTCCTGGGATCAAAAACATTGTAATCTTATATAGCTCCTTTTGGTGTTGAGAGATCCTACTGTGCCATGGTTTGTGTTGTGGAATGGGAAACTGCTATGTTGCCATCTCTTTTGCTTCGTTAATGGATGCCTAAATTGCTTGAAGAGATTTCTAGAAGGCAAGGAGAGTTTAGATGATAGAA